AAGGTGTTTGGGTTTTGGGATAATTTTTTGTTTTTTTTGTGTTTTGTGGGGATGGTTTGGATTCTTTTTGGGGGCTGGTTTATGTGTGCCTGTTTGCAGAGGTGTGGGCTGGGGCTGGCTTGCAGCAGATCCCTGCAGGTCTGACTGGGATGAGGAGCTGCTGTTCTGCCCTGAGCGTCCTGTTGATGCCAGAGGTGTCCTCCAGATTTTTGTTCCAGAAGGTGTTTTGTGGGTTTGGTTTTTGGAATATTTTTTGGGGTTTTTTGTGTTTTGTGGGGTTGGTTTGGTTTTTTTTTTTTTTGGGCAGAATGGGCACTGCTGGCTTATGTGTGCCTGTATGCAGAGATGTGGGCTGGGGCTGGCTTGCTGCAGATCTGGGATGAGGAGGGGTGAGCACAGGGCTCCACACAATGCCTGGATCCACAGGAACTGTTTCAGGGGCACATATAGGAGCTGGCTGCCCTTTCCCACACATCCTTGATGCCAGATGGGCACTGCTGTTGGTCCCCAAGATCTTCTTCTCTTCCAGAACCAGGAGATCGAGGAGCTGACCAAGATCTGCGACGAGCTGATAGCGAAACTGGGAAAGTCAGACTGAGCCTCAGCACCCCCTCCTCACCCAGCACTCTGCACTTGGCTGCTTCTCTCGTGACCTTGAGCACCTTGCCTTACCCTGGGCTCCCTGCAGGAAAGCTCCCGTGTCCAGCTGCCCCTTGGCTGCCAGACCTGTGGCTCCTGAGCAGGGCTGCTCCCCTCTCTGTGTCTGTCTGCTTCCCACAGCTCCAGGCTGGGATCCCTGCAGGCAGCCTGGGAATCATCCTGGGCTCAGCCTGGGAATCATCCTGGGCTCAGCCTGGGAATCATCCTGGGCTCAGCCTGGGAATCATCCTGGGCTCAGCTTGGGAATCATCCTGGGCTCAGCTTGGGAATCCTGGGTTTAGCCTGGGAATCATCCTGGGCTCAGCTTGGGAATCATCCTGGGCTCAGCTTGGGAATCCTGGGTTTAGCCTGGGAATCATCCTGGGCTCAGCTTGGAAATCCTGGGCTCAGCCTGGGCCTGTGTGTCCCTCTCTGGGCCTGTGTGTCCCTCTCTGGGCCTGTGTGTCCCTCCCAGGGTGTGCTGCCCTGTCCCTCTGCACCTCTCAGGTGGGAGGTGACACCCTGGGCTCTGTCCCCCGTGGCTGGGCTGTGTCCCCACTGCACTCTCTGTCCCTGATTGTCCCCATGGCTCAGCAGAGCAGGTCCAGCCACTGGTGGGTCCTGCCCTGGGACATGGGGGGTGGTGGGGGGGACCTGCTGGCTCCTGCACTGGGTTTGGCTGGTCTCTGGTTGGTGGGGGAAGCACAGCACAGCCTCTCCCTGCCCCTGGCTGTGCCAGCCTCAGAGGAAGGGAGCTGACATCTCTGCATTCGTGCACTTTATGAGCATTTATGGGCGCTTGGGCTCTCTGCTCACTCCTTCCAGTCAGGCAGGACTTGTTCCCCCCAGAGCAGTCACACAGCCTGCAGTACCTTCAGGTGAGGGGAGGCAGGTTTCTGCACCAAGAGGTGTTTGAGAAGCTTTTGAGTTTGAGTTTGAGAAGTTTGAGAAGAACAGATGCTTCTCAAATGGAGATGTTGGTTCTGGAGGGCTGGGAGTGCCCATCCATCCTCCCTGTGCCCACCCTGGCCCCTGCAGGGGGGCTCTCTGTGCCATGCTGAGATCAGGGCTCCCTTTCAGAGGAAGGAGCTGAACCCTGATGTGCCTCTGGGTGCTGCAGTAGCTGCAGTGGTGCAGGATTCTCTGCCTTGAATGGATAGGTGTGAAATAAGGGAAATATTTGCAGTTTGGACTGTTTCCTGCCCAGCCTGTTGAACACTTTCACAAACCTTTTTGCTGCTACCTTTTTGTAACAGAATTGAGCTCTTCTCCTTCTATTTTCTAATTCCCCGTGTCGAGCATGCAGAGCAAACAGCTGTTTAAGCCAGAGCCATACACTTGATTATATTTTATTAGTTATATAATATAGAGAGAGTTTATTCTACACTTAAGCAAAGGTGTCAGCAGCCTCCCCCAGCACACAGCTCCCCAACTTCAGTTCTCCATTTTCTTCCCTGTTCCCCAGTTATCCCAGTGACAGACTGGTCATGGAAACCAGTGGCTGACACCACTCAAAGCAGTGCACCTGTTGCTTGTGCTGGATATTCACCCTTGCACAGTTGGCAGAAAAGAAAAACCCCTTTTTCCCCTTTCTTTTTAACCCCTTTGACCTCCCCACATGTCCCCTCCTGGACTGGTGAAAAACCTTCAGTCCTGTGATCAACAAGGACTATTCCTGTTCCCATTTGGGAGTCTGTGCAGGTAAAACAAACCCCTGAAACCCTGAGATTTCTGGGGCAGAAAAGGCTTTTTTTCTCTTGAGGAAGCAGAGTGTAGCATTGCATCACCTCTTAGAGCTGGAGACAGGGCTGGTTTCTGGTTTGAGCCTTGGGGCATTGCCCTGTCCAGCCCACAGCAGCACCCACAGTGCTGATGGATCATTGCAGAATTTATATTTTACCACATCCCCAGAGCCCTGCCCTGCACACAGCAGTCACTGGGGGCTCTCTGCAAAGCTGTGACCCACTGGACACAGCCCTCCATCCCTCCTGTCCCCACCCAGTCCTGCTGTGCCACCTCCCCTCGCCCGTCCTGTGCACCCCAGCCTGGGCAAAGAAGATTCCTAAGGAATGATTTATTAACTATAATATGGTTGTAGCTCCAGATATAGATATAAATACATAATGGCTATGGTGATGTAAAACAGAAGGTGTTTGCTGGGATGGCTGCACCTCTGGGTGGTGGGGTGGTGTCAGGGATGGCACAGGGAATGGCAGGTCCCTGTGAGTGCTGTCACAGCTGGGTGTGTGTTTGTCCCCTGTTCCTTGCATTAGGCTTTAAATGCCCTTTTGGCAGCAGCAGCAGGCCCTGCCCCTGCTGCTGCTGTGTTGCTGTTTGCAGTGTGTGTTTGCCAGCAGATCTGTCTGTAACCAAGTGCCAACCAGTGACCCCCAACTACTGATCCCTCCCCTGTGCCTCCCCCAGGCAGGAAATTCCTCTGCATTGGCTCCCTCTGCTTCCAGCCATGTGTGTAACTGCCATTGCCATCGGTTTTATATGTATGATAATTTCCCTTTTATATGTCAGGTAAATATTTGTAAGAGTTATACTCACACAAATGAGATTATTATTATTATTATAATGATTACTAATATATTTTTTTCCATGTTTCATTGCCTGAGTAAAAACTGTGTTTATCACTCTTGAAAGCTTTCTTGGTGTTTGTGAGGTTGGTTAAGAGTTTTGGGAGGAGTGGGTTTTACTTTCNATTCTGGGTGGGCAAGAGGAGGGGGAGAGGGAGGGAGGGAGGGAGTGACAGGCAGGACAGTGCTGGGGATGGACAGGAACAGGGCTGGGGACAGGGAGGGAGGGGACAGGGATGACCAATGCTGGGGACAGAAGGAGCAGAGCTGGGGACAGGGATGAGCACTGTTTGGGACAAGGATGAGCATTGTTGGGAACATGTGCAGTGCTGGAACAGGCAGGAGCAGGGCTGGGGACAGGAGCAGTGCTGGGGACAGGGATGAACAATGCTGGGGACAGGAACAGGGCTGGGGACAGGTAGGAGCAGAGCTGAGGACAGGAGCAGGGCTGGGGACAGCAATGAGCACTGTTTGGGACAGGGATGAGCAGTGTTGGGGACAGTGCAGAGCCAGGGAGGTGGCTGAAGGGCAGGGAGGTCAGAGCAGACCGTGAGGAGCAGCCAGCACAGGTTGGGTCTCACATGGAGTGCCCAGAGCTGGCTCTGGTGGCCCCTTGGTGCTGGAGGGACCCTCAGGGCTCTGCCCTCTGGCAGCAGAGCTGGGGAGAGCACAGGAGCCCTGCTCTGCAGCCCCACAGTGCTGGGACAGCCCTGCCATGGCCCAAGGAGCCCCAAGGGACACCCTGTGCCAGCCCCGGCCAAAGCTGCTTGAGCTGACAAGCAGATGACAATGGGATTAGCAACATCAGCAAACACACCCCCCTATGAGACAGATTAACTGTGCTGAGCCCCACAAGGACATGGGCAAAGTGAGCTTTAATTGGTGCCCTGAGAGCCTGGGCTGGCTCTGGTCCTGCAGGCAGGCTGCTGTCACCCCACGGGTACCTGCAGGAGCTCAGGTGTGCACCTGCTGTTGGAAGATGCTGTGAGAGGCTGAACCTCCTCAGTGCTGGGGTGGAGCAGCATCCCAAACCTGCCCCAGGAGTCACTCCCACCTCTGCCATGGCCACAGGGAGCTCAATCTGAGCAGCTGAAGTGCCAGGGGGAGAAGGGAGGGGAAAAGTGCTCCAGTGCTCTGGTTTCCACACTGTGAGGAGCAGCTGCCTCCTCCCTCCCATTCTTCCCTTCTCTATTTCTGGCAGCCCCTTCTCAGGGAGATGCTGCAGGGCTGTCACTGCTCTGGGTGGGGAAATGAGGGGCAGGCAGTGCCAACTGAGCCTTGTTCCCAGTTGGTCCCAGTGGCTGCAGTGTAGCCGACATATTTTCTGAAAAATCCTTTCCTTAGGATTTTTCCTCCTGAGAAGCTGAGAGGCCTCAGGAACAAAATGTAAACAATGGTTATCTGCTGCTGTGGAATGCAGCAGGTGCATCTGTGATTGTTTCTAATTAGTGGCCAATCACAGTCAGCTGGCTTGGACAGAGAGTCCAAACCACAAACCTTTGTTATCATTCCTTTTCTATTCTCAGCTAGCCTTCTGATGAAATCCTTTCTTGTATTCTTTTAGTATAGTTTAAATAGAATATATATCATAAAATAATAAATCAAGCCTTCTGAAACATGGAGTCAGATCCTCATCTCTTCCCTCATCCTGGAACCCCTGTGTACGTGGTCACAGCAGCTCTGCCAGGGCTCAGATGCAGGCTTTGGGCTCTGTGTGTGCAGAAGGGGAAAATGCTGATAAAACAGGGAATGTGGGTGAAAAGAACCCCCTGTTAACATCCCATCCCTGGGTGATTCCCCCAGGACAATCCCGGGCTGTGCTCCATGGACAAGTGCCCCAGCGTGAGCAGCAGTGACAGTTCCCTGGCTGGCATCTGCCTCAGCGAGTCTGAGAAGGCAGCGGTGCTCACGCTCATCAGAGAGGAGGTAACAGCTGTGTCCCTGTCCCCTGGGGCTGTCCCTCGTGTCCCTGGAACTGCCCCTTGTGTTCCTGTCCCTGGCACTGCCCCTTATGTCCCTGTCCCCTGGGGCTGCCCCTCGTGTCCCTGGCACTGCCCCTTGTGTCCCTGTTCCTGGGCTTCTCCTCCCTGGACCTCTCCCCAGGGCAGCAGGGACAGCTCTGCTGTGCCAGGAGAGGGGATCTGATCCCCTGCGTGGGACAGAGAGGGGAAGCCCCTCAGAGCACGTCCCAAACGTGTCTGCTGCCCCCCAGATCATCACCAAGGAGATCGAGTCCAACGAGTGGAAGAAGAAATATGAGGAGAGCCGGCAGGAGGTGCTGGAGATGAGGTGAGAATTGTCCCCTGAGGGGGCATCAGGGGTGGCACAGCTCAGCCTCGCCAGGCTTGGCAGAGACTTCTCTTAGAGCTGTGTCCTGTCACTGTGATATTTTCTGAAAAATCCCTTCGCCAGGATTTGTACTCCTGGGAGGCTGGGAAGCCTCAGAGAAAAATGAAATCAATAATTATCTGATTTTCTTCTCCTGTGTTTGGCTGCTTTAGAATGTGGTTTGGACATTGTTTACCAACAGGTGCATGTTTGATTGGTTCCATGTGAATTGTTTTTAATTAATGACCAATCACCATCCAGCTGTGCTGGACTCTGAGGAGTCAGTCATGAGTTTTTCATTATCATTCTTGTTAAGCTTTCTGTCTGTATCCTTTCTCTTTCTTTAGTATAGTTTTAGTATAGCATAACATAACATAACATATGTAGTATAATAGAACATAATATAGTATACTATATAATACAATATATTACGTTGCATTACATTACATTACATTACATTACATTATCAGCCTTCTGAGAATATGGAGTCAGATTCTCAATTCCTCCTTCATCCTGGGGACCTCACAAACTCAACACCAATGTTCTCTTAGTACTGGTGCTGTGTCCTACTTCTTCCTCTGCTGCAATAAAATAGAAATAAATAGAAATAAAAATAGAAATAAAATAAGAAATAAATAAAATCCCATGTGCTGTGGCAGAGGAGGGTTTTGGTCTGAGGCAGCACTGATGGGTGGTGCAGCCTCAACATCTGGGGTGCAGCCCCAACATCTGGGCCTTGTACCTGTGCTCCTGTGGGGTGCAGTGGTGGCAGGGCCAGCAGGGCCTCCATGGGGCAAATTGCCACCATGTCCCCACAATCAGTGGCCTCTCACCTGTTTGTTTTTTCTCTTCCTTCTAGGAAAATCGTGGCTGAGTATGAGAAGACCATTGCCCAGATGATAGGTAAGGTGCTGTCACCTGGCCAGGTGTGCAGGGCAGGGAGCTGTGAGCTATCCCACAGCTGTGTCTCAATCACTCAATCACAACTCAATCACTGTGTCCCTGTTGTTTGTTCTCCATGCCAGAGGATGAGCAGAGGACCAACATGACATCTCAGAAGAACCTGCAGCAGCTCACCATGGAGAAGGACCAGGCTCTGGCAGACCTGAACTCGGTGGAGAGGTCCCTGTCGGATCTGTTCAGGAGATATGAAAACCTGAAGGGCGTCCTGGAGGGATTTAAGAAGGTTCTTATCTTGGTTTGCCCTTTCTCCCTGCAGCTCCGGTCCCTGGACAGAGCTGCTGGTTTGGTTTTTGGGATTCTTAGAGGATTCCTGGGCATTCACACTCCATGTTTCTATGCTGCTGAGTGTAAAGCAGAAATTTGATTTGTTAAAAACCTTTTTTCTTACACTCAGAGCAGTATCTATCATCCTGTCAGAACAATCCTGTCTTTGTGCCCAGCCCCAATGCAGATGGATGGACTTTCTTTTCCAGAATGAAGAAGCTCTGAAGAAATGTGCTCAAGATTACCTGACCCGTGTCAAGCAGGAGGAGCAGCGCTATCAGGCCCTGAAAGTCCACGCAGAAGAAAAATTAGACAAGTAAGGTCATGCATGAGATTGCTGGGTGCTTCAAGACCTTGTAGGGAAGCAGCTTCATTTGCTCTGCAGAGGCTGCAAGGCAGGAGCTGAACAATGTGAAAAGCTGCATTTTACAACCTCAGGCTCAAGTGTCTAAGCAAGGCAGAGCAAATCCCTGAATGCACTCTCTGATCTCTGCTTATTTATTTTTTAATGGAGAACCTGAGGTTCACAGTCTATTTATGGCCACTTAACCAAGCTCCCATCTCTCAGAGTGCTCCTGTTTGTGGTACAGGACGGGGCTGTGCTGCCCTGGGGCTCAGCTGATGAGCAGGAGCTCAGCAGCACGTGTACCCTGAGTGAGGTGGGTGGTGAGTGAGTTTAGCTTGGCCCTGAAAGAGCCAAGAGTTTCCTACAGGGGCTGGAGGAGCTGAATTAACCCAGTTTCATCCAGGTTCCACAGGGGCAAACCCTCTGTTTTTCCCAGATGAGCAGAGCCAGGCTCTGCAGTTGCTGCACAGCCTCAGGACGTGCTTTTATGTCACTTTTGTGGAGAGTGACACAGGAGCAGGCAGGAGGCAGGATTTTAGAAAGAGCAAAGAAGGTTTTATTTAAGAGAACCACACAGTTTTTATAATGACACAGGAGCAGGTAGGAGGCAGGTTTAGCTTGGCCCTGAGAGAGCAGAATTTCATACAGGGGCTGGAGGAGCTGAATTAACGCAGTTTCACCCAGGTTCCAC